ATGAACAGATATGTATTGACAGGGGTGTGTTGGATGTTTGTTATTAGGTTATAGGGTTCAATCGGGATTTTGTTCAAAACGTAGAAGGTACGTGTTTCACGAGACGAGCATGCAAAGCATGCTTTAAGGTGTATGCAAACATTGATTAACATATTCCATACACATTTTAATAAGTAGCATTATTTTTCTAGATAATGAATTTTTGAAAAACGTCGAGGTAGAGTTGACCTCGGATTAGACCTTGAGCCTCACCTTCAAGGTTATTCCAAGGTCAACTGTATTTTTCATGAAAATATACCTCTTTTGGACACCGGTGATCGAAACAATGGAACGTTGTATGTCCGACTATATACTAAAATATAAGATCAAGGTCACCTTTAACGTTCCAATGAAGGTTGAATATGAGGCTGGGAAAACTAGAAGTTTAGGAGCAATATTGATGGAAAAAAATGTGGTCAAGCCTTTAGTTACGTTCAACGAGGGCCTCAATATTGATCTTGGATTTAACCTTGAGCCTCAACTTCAAGGTTATTCCAAGGTCAACTGTCTTTTTAAATCGAACGGCCCCTTTGAAGACCGGCGATCGAAGCAACGTAAATTTCTACGTCTGAATATGTATAAAAATATAAGATCAAGGTCACCTCTAAAGGCTAAATGAGGGTTAAATATTTTAGACTGGGCCAAAGTAGGCAGGAGCAGGAGTAGCAGGATTATTGACAAAAAAAAGGTTAGACCTTTAATAACATTTATAGGGGCCGTTCAAATATTACGTAAGCAGATTTATTACAATTATTTACCCCCCCAACCCCCTTGTCAGCAAAAGTAAGCAAAGCTCTTACCCCCTCCACCCATTCTTAAGTAAACATTTGTCAAATAATGTATTGTTTTTTTTAATATTATAATTATAACGTTATAATTATAATTTGAAGAATAAGAAAATAGATTTAGGATAGACATTATATTTTACTGATACGGTATTCAACATAGAGTAAAGGACAAACATATTATATCTTACTAACATAACAAACTTATTGTAAATTTTTGGTACATATATTAAATTCAAATTAACAGTCTTCAGTCCATGAAACCCGAATCCATGATTCTAAGTTTTCGATGACATTAGATTGCTTCGATTGCTGCTCAGTGTTGTGAGATTGCTCGCTTTCATCGGATTTTGGAATGTCTACGTCGTTCTCATCGAGCCATTCAACATCATGGTGCTCTAAATTTTGAATAATGCACATCAGAGCAGCGACTCTTACAGGTCTAACTTTCCTATCAGTGTGCGTGTTTACTTTTTTATGGATATTTTCGATGTGACGATTTAGTGACTTGACGGAAGCATGATAAAGACCACACGTTTTGCATGTTCGACTTGATAGCCTCAATTTTACCGTCGGACAAAAATAATGGTAGGGCATTTCCAGGAAATCTTTGAGTGAAGCACTTAAGCGTAGAGCTAAATTGACTGGAAGATTAAGAAATTGCCCTCCTTCATCCAAAACCAAGTCATCAACTGTTTGTTTTACTTTTACAGGTGGTGGAAGAAACCTATTGTCTAGTAATCTAAATAGGCCACTTCTTGGACGACAGCATTCTGTATTTCTACATTTTACAATTTGAAGCAAGTATTGGCTCTCACGCACATGTTTTGAATATCATTTAATGTCTGGAAAATCAGGAAGATCTTGTTCACCTGCCCCAACATATTTTGCATTAACATTATAGCCATCAATTTCCATTGAACTCCATACTTCAGCTAATACATTTCCTGCAAATTCGAAATTAGATCTTTCTAAATGTTCATCAATTGTCACGCCACGTTCATCCAAATGAGACCCAAAACGGTCATGAGGCAATATTAAACCGGCCAGTTCCCGATTAAGAGGAGCCATTCTGCGCTCTACTCTGTTATACGCACTTCTTCCATGACCATTGGTAGCTAAAAACAATGCATCGAGATCATGTCGCTTAAAGTGTTGTATAACGTGGATTTTCATCTGGCCCTTCATCAACCGTCATGATTACCACTGGTTTTACTAGTCCGTGGTCAGTTTTAGCTAATGGTCGAAACTATTCAAGTTCGAGAAGCGTCTCGAAATCCTGAGCATGAGTATTAGCAGTAAATGAACTATGCTTTCCACTTCGAATAGCGATGTATGTTGGTCCAGAATATCCAACGGCTTGCCGTTGTCCTAGCATGAGTGATTTTGATACCAGCATAAACAGATGGTATTAATTTATGACGCTCAGCGATTACTCAATCGTGATCAAGCAATTTGACGCTATATTCCATGTGCATTAGAAGAGGTGCTTGCTTATTTGCCGCAGTTACGCCAATAGGGACCCGAGCTTTATCATCTTGAGATATGAAAATTACTTGATCTGGTTCAAGTGTGGATGCTATGTTCTCTAAATAATAGATTGATGTTTCAGCGAACTTGCTAACTAAGTGGCTCTTGTGGTGATCAGTTTGAGCCCGAATGAGCTTAACAGGGACTGTCGATACATGTCTTTGTCCCTCTGCAGAATTAGATTTTCTGGGAATGAAATGAAGATATGTCCCACTGCGACTAATGTCAAATCCTATTTTACGTAATTCTTGTGTGAGTTCATCAAGAGTTTTTACGCTGCGAATTGATTCCGTTCGTCTTCTATAATCTGCTGCACTCCCAAATAAAGCTATATGCGCGATTGTTTTCAATAGTGAATGTTGATTGCTTTCAAGATTAGGACGTCCCACTGAATCCCTCAGAGAGAGTCTTTTTTTTTTATTTCTGGATTTTCATGACAAATATCTTCTAACTTTTTTTTCATACCATCTCTGTGTTTCTTCTGGGCAACTGCGTTTTGAACCTTCCTGTTTAAAGACTGTTTTGCTGTTTTTATTTCCTCGCGCAACTTAATGATCTGTTTATCAAGTTCAGCACGGCTTGGCATAGCATCTCTGGCAGAATACAAAGCATTCAGATTTTTTTCGAGTAGAGCAATCTTATTTTTCATAGCTTCCTGAGAAGGTTTTGCTCTGTGTTTATCTGTATTTTCATTAATTTAGCATTGCTGTTGTGATTCATTACCGGGTTTTATTTTATCTTCTTCCTCTTTTTTAATATTTGAAGCTGACTGTATAATTTGTGTTTTTTCTGCAGGTTTACAGGTTGCCTAAAAATAAAAACTTTCTATGGCTTCTGCTAAAGATTCTCTTATTAAGCTACATAAATACAAAGTATGGCAATATATATGGTAAATACAAAACCCTATAGCTTTAAATCTAATATGTTTAAACAAGCAATTCGTTCCGGTCACAAAATACAGGGTGTTAGTTTTCTGTATATATGTATAAAATTAACATCCTGTACTTTGTACCAATTGACGGAATCAATCATAAGAAATAAATCTATAATATAATACTTTGAGATATGCCACAATATTTTCTAATCAGTAACGAGAAACTTTTTGGCGATTTCTAATATTTCTAGTACTCATAGGTACCACTTACCTCAGAAAAAAAATTTACTAGATTGAATTTATTCTTAGTCGCCGCTTGCAATTCTTCTTCGATTCTCTTAGATACAATAATATCTAGTTCCTTGTCGGATTGTGCTTGTAATTTGTAATTTCGCCACACTTCGTTAACTAACTTTTGTAGATTTTGTACTTTCGTACTTGCATGAGATTTTTTAAAACTTTCAAACAATTTTTGGTACAACTTGGATTTGTCTATGTGAAACGACATCTTATTTAAACATTAAACTTTGGCTAATGGAATCAATGGTAACACAAATGTTAAGTTGCTTTAGTATGCTTACAATACGTCTACTTGCTACAGTATCCAAACGAAACAATACACTGATAGAGGAAATTTAGACAAGTGAACACCGCGCGGTAATTCCCCTACTCGGTTCTAAAGCGAGTAGGGGAATTACCGCGCGCTGTTCACTAAATTTATGCATTATTTGCGGGAATCCCCGAAAATGCGTTTCGTTTTCAAGCAAAGACAATATGAGGGTTGCCATTCGTGTAAAAAAGTAAATAACTACCGATGACGTAATCATCATCTAGACTTCCCTACCCCCCATGTCATCCAAAATAAGCAAAGCTCAAGTACTCACGTAATACTTGAACGGCCCCTAACAAGGATTTCAATATTGACCTTATATTTGACCTTGAGCTCCAGCTTCCTACTCACGGTGTCGAATATCGGTGTTTCTATTGAAAAACGTTGATCTCGAATCTACCTTGAAGATAAGTTCAAGGTTGAATTTAAGATCTTACTGAGAACAATTGTTTACATCAGTAAACCCGTTGCACTCAAGCTGAACTTAGAACTGATCTTGATCTCAGATTTTAATACAGATTCGGACGTAGTTACCGTACATCTGGCAACATTGCCCCTTCCCGTCAGACGCGGTAGCGCCCACCGAAGCACCGCCGCAGCACGAGCAGTTCAATCAAGCAGATCGTTGCACCGGAAACTGAGCTCAGATAGCAGGAGTCGCGTATAGAAAACATGTCCCTCTCATTCTAGGTTTTAATGACAGGCGTTTGGAGGAATCTATGATGTGTGAAATACGGATAATAGATGTGTAGAGTTAGGGGGCTGATAACATAAAAAAATTGAGATATACTCTCTCCTACCAAGACCCCTAATTCTAAACCCCAAAAGATTCTTTCAAGGATTCTCTGAAACGTCAAAAAACAAAGTGTGAGCGAGGAAGTAAGGAGACAACTTTAATTCTCTAAAACAAAAGTTGACCTTGAAAACACCTTGAAACTGTGTGCCAAGGTCAAATCCAAAATGACCACAAAAGTCTATGCTTGAAGATACACCTGACCTTGAACTTTTCTGAAAATACCTTACCTAGAAAAATGCTTTTGTTACACGGAGCATGCTGCGTAGGAAATCCTAACAACTGTGCTTTCAACATTTCTCGTGCATTTTCCGCAAAGGCTCGTCAATGAATCTGAAAAGGAGCTTATAAAATTCACTCGGATAAAATATGGAGCTTTTCTTTGGAGATGAGTTGTACTGTCTAAGTGAGGAAGAACGGTTATTACTCCAAGACAAATCCGCTTTCATCCTTTCCCATTTTTCTAAACGGAAGCGTTTAATAATGAATAAGAAAATCCTGAACGGAGGGGTGGAAAAAGTAATCAGAGCGGAAAAAATGGTGAACGCTGCTCTGGGTAGTTGGTTGGTAAGGAAATTTTGCTGACAACTTCATCATTAAAGCAGGACGTATTCCTATGGAAATGAGATTTCTAAGAGCCCGTTCTTACAGATACTAGATCAGAAAATACAACATTTTAGATATTAATTGACATGCTTCGCAAAAAGACATCTTAGGAGTTATTAAAACAGACTCAATTTTACTTGAAAAATGTTAGTTCTTAAATATGGCATCCCAGAAAAGATCACTCCTTAACTTCACTCGTATTTGCTTTTAATTACGCATTTCACAACAACAGAAAAAGAAATCCCATAACCTGGAGAAAGAAGCTAACAGTGGCACCTAAAGACGGTGGTCGACATGTATAGGTACGTATAGATGTAAGCCCCGTGCGTCCCTCAAGTATACGATAATCAATGCTTAAAAATAAACTAATCATAGAATACTCTTCGGAATCTGTGGAGAAAAGGTGTGATCTTTAAGTTGTGCCGACTCTCTCAAATCGACCGCTTAGCAAGGGTGATCCATTTCGATACTTGATTCCCTGCCAGGGAAACACTAATATTACCTCATTTCAAAAATTGCAAAGACCCCAAATTTAAATTGAGGACTATTTTTTTCTATCAACCTTTATACCTCAACGAACAGCTTCTATGTACAAAACAACAAATCTGATAACCTTAAACAAATTGAAAAGTCTTGAGCAAAGGCATTCCCAACGCAACGCCCTTATCAGTACAGAAAGGAATATGTTCAGCACAAAGTAGACCCTCTGAGAAAAAAGTCAATCAAACAGGTCCATACTATTAGTTCATAGACACATAGACATTATTTCCCTGCCCTACCAGTAGTGCATCTGGAAACGTCGCCACTCCTCGATACCTAACTCGGACAGACGTGGTACTGAGGTAGCGCGGTCAGAGCATACAAAAAACACCATCCTGTTGCAGAAATACGGGTGATTCCATGCCAGAACACATCACGGTAGGCGCACAACGCCAACAGTAGTTTACAACCCAAACTCCAAGTTTTTTTGCCTCTAAATTTTTTTCAAACATGATCAAGATCATCTGAAACGTCAAAAAACGAAGTTTGAGCAATTACTTTTTTCGTTGTAGGGTTTTGCCTCTGCCGCCACTGGACCGATTTTGAAAATTTACAAAACTAGTAAGTAGTGACATTGTGTAATAATTTCACCGAAATTCAAACGGTACTTGTCAAGTTATAGGTGGTTATAAGATTAGCGGACAGAGCGACAGACAGACAGGCAGGCCGAAGGAAATGAGTGACATGGCTTTTCGTGATGCACGTGTCGTATAACATCCAAAAAACATAGTACCTCATTTTAGAAAATTTCCGCGATTACAATACTTCCCTGTCAGTAGACGTGGGAAGTAAAAATTTACAATAAAACCATAAAAATAAATGAAGAACTTGAACATAATAACGACATAATATAACTATAGTACAAGAACGAATAAACATTTTAGAAAAAATACACACAAGCGTCAACAAGCGAAGTTTGAGCGACTTTTACTTTTTATTTTGCTGAATCAATTTTCAAAACCTATCAATCAAAAGCCGACTGGTACTTCTCAGGTCATAGCGGGGTCAATGATTAGCGGACAGACAGACATACCGACGGAGATGAGTCACATGGTTTTCGTGATGTGACATTCAAAAACATAATACGTATCTCATTTTTGAAATTTTGGGCGCTAACAATATTTTATGGTCAGTGGCGTGGAAAGTAAAACGAGTTCGAAAATTTCTCCGGCAAATGAAAGTTTTGCCTTGTCTATAAATCCCTTCCATGCTCCCCATATCAGCAGGTAGCGCCTGAAGGCCAAGAAAAATTGAGCGTAGGCAAGAAGGTAACGATGTTTTCTTATCTTTCCCATACCGCCGTATAATAATGTGCATACAAGGGAGGTCAAAGGTTACAAAGCACCTTTTCCCTTCCCGTCCTACACAAATATCAACACCGTGTTTTGTTTCTCGGTATGTGTGTTTGCGTTTCCGCCTACGCTAAGTTAGGCACGATGTTTTCGTGCTAGTCGAATTATTTTCGGGGAAGTTTAAAGGGATCTTTGTCAAAGTATATTATGTAATATTACACAGCAATGCAACGATATGAAGAAAGTTGTGAAAGCACGAGTCTGCAATAAGACTTTACATAACTTTTAATTTAAAAAAGACAAAAGTGAAGTAAATCTGACCGAGAAATAGCTAAGACTAAATTCAATGCAAAACTAAAGAATATAACAAAGGTTAGATTTTACGGAAGACAAAGCTTTTTTCCCATGTTTTAGCTCAAATTTTAATTACTGTCGTTATTAGGATGAGCGATAAGTTTTTCTATTTGTACATGCTCCTACATATCATGTTTTGTTTGGGTCTACTACTGTTTTAAACATATTTGTATACTTTGATTTTTTGACATATAACTCTATTTGGTAAGCTTGTATTATATCGAAATTTTTCGCATTTTGAATCCCTGGAGAAAACATTAGACAAATGTCGAAACGTCGGATTTATCAGCAAAGTGCATCATTGAACACCATGCGCATCATATTCCAAAATCCGAAGTTCAAGACAAAACTAAGGAATATTTATAACACCGTTAAGAGTAAACTATGCAGAATGCTATTCTACAAGTATGCAGATCTGGCACCTGTAATGCATACATCCGTTTTATGGTTATATAAAGAGAAGACCATTAGACAAGGCGATTAAATCAGAGAGAGATAGACGGCGGTTAAGCCAAAAACATTAAACAGCTGAGGGTCTAAACATGAGTTGTTCTTATTCGATTATATCTATCATTTGTAGGGAAAAATGTTGTATTTCTTGGTTAACTTCACCCTTGTTTGAACATCTATCATCCATTTATGGTCTACGGTATGTACGAAGGCGTAGTAGTAAGTACTTAGCCTCACCGCCCGATGGCGCTACTATCGCAGGAGAAATGTATTATTATGTAGTACATTCTCGTAAACAGCTAGGTACTGCCAAAGTTTCAGCGGAATAGGACAGGTCTGTGAAGTTAGCCCCAAAACATCTGGGGCTAGGAATTCATTTATGTCATTCTTTTGTCCATCATTTGTCGACATTTGTCCACCAATTTATTTGATTTATCCTCCCTTCGTATTCTCCTAAAATTAAAAAAATAGATTTTTGGGCTAACTTTACACAGCACCAACATTTTCGATTTTGAGAAAACGTTTTGCTCTTTCGTTTGTCCATCGTTAGACCACATTTCTCCACCATTTAGTTTCATTTGTCCACTTTTTGAACTTTGTGGAAATGGAAAAAAAGATCGGTTCACGCTGCCCATATCTAGCCAAATGCCTCCAAGGTTACTGAAAATAATTTGTTGGAAATAAAACTAGTTCCTGATATTTGCTGACCGTTTGAAATACAACATCCATATACACAAGTTTATGTAATTATTTGAGAATCCAAGTTTTACATGGAGATTATGGCTGAACTGCTGGTGCTTCGCTTACAATAGCACAGTTCACACAGAGACAAATAATTCACCATTTGAACTTATCTTTGGAAGGCAAGCGACAGTCAGTAGTAACATTGCCTCACAAATGGATGCTAGGTATATAAAATTTTTATCCCTTAGAAATGAAATACGTATATATGTTACAAGGAGCATGGAATAATAATAATTTATTACCAAAAATTTGCTGGAAAGGTATGTAGGGGTGCCCGCAGTAGTAGACTCTTCGGTCTCCTGATCAGTCGCCGTGCTCTTTGCGGGTTCGAATCTCGTCCCAGGAGAAATTTTTCTCTTGGCTATGGATGTTGTGATTGTCCGTAGGTAGTAGACGGTCTCTGACTGTCGAACGCGGAGGTACCACCCGGCGTATCTCGTAGGCAGGGCCAGAATGTGTGCATGTTGCATGCACACGTTTTCCCTCGCTAGAGTCCGTGTGGCGTTCCCCCTTTTCCCTATATCCCCTTATAGCCCCACGGTACCCCATGGGTGTTTAGGCCTTAGGCTTTCGTGGTAGTTGGAGTATAAAAAAAACGATACAAAAACGAATCCGTATAAATATAAGAAAAATGATTTAGTGTTAATCAAATCTGAAGTACGTAATAAGAAAGGCAATTTACAAAGAATCTTATAGTATGGAAGGTGAGTGCTCTCCTAATGTATTAGTAGACTTAAGTAATGTATGTTTAAGTAACATTTATAAGAATAGAGTTAAGCCGTATACATGTTAAACAAATATCAGAGATTAAAATCTTTTTCTCGTTCCCGTGTAATGGCATAACAATAATAATAGTATTGTAACAAGTGAGTGAAGTAAACTTTGGCGCGTAGTGTATACTTGTATAGCAAAACAGGAAAAGTATGCAATAATTATGGTGTATGTTACAGAAAACGATCGATTATGCTTTCTTAACCCTGTAACTTGACGCTATCTCGAAGTCTATCACAACACTTTATATTCATACTTAAACTCTACACTCAACCTTCTCTATCTGAACTTTCTCCCAGGCCCCAATCTAAATCTGTCTCGTCGATATACCAAATATTATAAACTTTTTTATGCAGCAGAATTCGTTGGCGAGCAGATAAAATGCTTTTAAGGAATCTCTAGGGGGGCAGATAAGAGGTTTTGTTTCTTTATAATTTAAATATTAAAGAGGACATCCTGTAAGAGGATCCTCCAGCTTGCCTGAGGAGGGTTTCGGTCGGATCGGTTCGAAGGGGCACCATCTGGAAGGTTTCACTTTCAGATCGATAATCCGCCAGCGGTTTGGAATTTAAGGGCGGAGAGTTTACTTGTTGAAGGGATAAGTAGTTAGATCAAGATATAAGTAACTTTTTCCTACAATTTTTGTGTCAATGATTCTTTTGGAGGTATCGAGATTTATTGCTTTTTAATCAGTTCAAATTGGCGTAAAAATAGGGCATTTGCCGCCATTTTGATAAACGCCTTTGATTAAAGATCTCGAAAACCGTAGATCCTATGTGCAAAAGTAATAGAAACAATTTTGTAGGAATTTGAAATTTTCCATTATTTCGCTACTACAAAGATTTGCCATATAGTCAACAGGTTACGCGAAATTTAAGGGTAAGTATGATGATAGTTTTTGTTATAATGGCTAAACTAACAAACTAAGCATATAAACACTACAATCATTTTTTTAGAGCATAAAAATTTCCACAAAAAGGTCCTTTATGTTTGACGGATGATGCAAATGTAAGAAGGGAAAGTAATATATTCGTTACCCATGTGTCAGCATACAACATGTTTTCACGTGGTGATAACTCCAAATGTCATTATCTATGATCAAGAATACCTACGGAGCACTACAAGGGCCTGCACTTGGGTCACTATCATTTATTTTATATATATATATATATATATATATATAAAAATAGGAAAATAATGGGCAAAATCTGCAAAAAGGAGGAAAGTGGATTCGAGCAGAAAATAGGATAGGTAACCCGAGCGATACGTATTTCTGCTAGTTGGCTTCATCAGGCCCGAAATGAATGCACATATGCAACTATAAAAGTAGATACACATGCTCATACATCCGGATACACGGGTATAACCTGAGGAAACAAAGATGGAGAGGGGAAAAAAATCCCACACGAAGTCCGCAACAAGAGCCAACCTACACATTGTAGTATAAAATAGCTAGAAGACCTCGAATTTTCAAAGTGATATCTACGTATCGCTCGGGTTACCTATCCTATTTTCTGCTCGAATCCACTTTCCTCCTTTTTGCGCATTTTGCATATTATTTTCCTATTTTTTTGTTATATACATTTCTCCGCATGATTATTTTCTCTCTCTCTCTATATATATATATATATCGGATCTGCGTGAGATTGTTAAATATTGTAGTGTTCAATTTTTTGGCGATGATTCACAAATTTAGAATAATTTTTCAGGTGAAAACCATTTTGAAGCACGACGACACTCGCGCTAAATGGGTACTGACCAAAATAGTACATGGAGGTGGAAACCTTGCCTTGAAATGTACGAGAAGCGGTGTTGCCAAGCGAACCAATGATACAATGTTGGAGAATTTGCGAAGATCTTGACCTTCTAATTCGACATAAAATGGAGCGCCGTTAGGACCGATCGGGAATGCATCCTAAACAGATTCGACACAATTTAAAAATGTCTACGACCAAAATAAAACCATTATTTGAGCGTAGAGACTAAACTAACGCATATTTTTAACATGCGTCTCAATTTAAGGAACTGGTGTAACATGTTGGTAGCGCGGCATATTGCTAGGCAACGCGGTGATGAGCTTCGCTATCCAGCCGGCTTCTATCACATAAATGTGTCTATACACACTCCTCTCTCGTACTCATTGAACTCATGCTGTCAGGCAAATTTGGTTCACAGTGTATATATATGTTCCAAATCATAAAATAAATGAGCCACAATAAAATCTAAAATATTGCCAGAAGATAAATACAAAACATACAGGTAGATATCACCTACTGCAAGGTTGCTACATCACTACTTAACATTCCTGTCAAATTTTGTCGTTTCTATGGTAAATCGTATTCAAAATAACGAATTTTTGTGACTGGAATCACCAAAGATTCTAAACAATGCATAAAAAGTCTCATATGCTTTTGATTTTAGAGGTATAGTTGTTTAGGCGGAATGAGTTGTTATGACCTATTTTATCCAAAAAAATTATGGACCACTATAGACGGACCTGTATAACAGAATTGTCAATCGTTGTACAATAAACAGAAATTTGATATGTGGTTTGATTCGGCCAGGCAATAGTCTTAAGCAGACGCAATACTCATATATGGCGATCAAAAAATGCCAAAGAATTAAAAAAATCCAGGTTGCTACTGATTAACACATTTGCGGCAGGCTAGAGTAGGCAAACAAACAATAAGCGTTCTGACCTGCAATTCAGCTGGTCCCCACACTTCTCGGGTTATTCCCCTCTTTTCAAAAACATCTGGAGTGGGTCCTCAGGCTTCTCGCCCTCCGCGGTTTTGGCTCCTTAAACCCGCCAAAGCGTCGCCGAATGATCAAAAGAAAAACCGTCGGATTCGCGAGAAAACAAAAGAAAGCCGCTGCCTGGCACCCCCCGCCTGTCTCCAACTAGCTTGGATCCAGGCGTAGTAATTAGATTTTCACTTTCTTGCAGCGGTCAAAAAAGTTCGTTTCGACGGGATTTCGCTTTTGGTGTTTTCTGTCTAGGGAAAGGTGGGAAAATGAAGACTAATGAGGATATATTGAAAGGGAATTCTGAGTACTAGGAAATCAGTGGAATAACATGCTTTATGTAATTATTATGAGTAAAAATTGGAGAGATACGAAGGTCGTGTTTTGAGTAAGAACTGTTTTGTAATGAAATCAGAGAAACTTTATGAGCATAAATTGTAACGCAAACTAAAATGTGAATGTTTTTTCATTTTTCAACATAGCCACCATAAGCATTTAAGCATTTGTCAAGTAATGGTATCAGCAAAAAGTGTTTGCGATGCTAAGACGTAGCGTTAGATGTATCTGTGGTTCAGAATTTAGGGATCCATGTAGAGTCCAACTGAAAATATTCATAGATATCGTCATTTGTTTACAACGCGCAGTGATACGCACACCTATAATATGCGTAACACCCCCACGTTAAATTTACCACAACATCGTCTACAAAATACTAGAAGCGGTATTAATTATCACGGAATTCGCTTCTATAATGCAATTCCAGATAATGTCAAGCTTCCTAGCGACGAGCCAATGAAATTAAAAAAAATGCTTCTTGATCAACAAAGCTCACTAGAACTTTGATGAGTTCTTCAATAGTGACTTTCCAGATCTCCAGTAGACCATTTTATTTCGTTTTTTTCATAGTAGTGTTAATTGATCTTGTGTATATTATTTTATGTTTATTGTTGCTTTTTTTATTGCTGACAAATGTCATTGTCTTCCAGCAAACACGCACTGTGTATTTAGCAGTAAATAAAGAATTGAATTGAAATTAAATTGATCCGCCAAAGGGCGCTACTGTTTGACGTTAAGTTCTCCACTTTCAATAGGAGTTTTGTATAGCAACGTTTTAAGGTGTCCCCAGAGAAAATAATATAAGGGATTCATATAAAGATACGGTAATTTTTATCTAAAAATTGCCCCGCCACTACACTAAAGTGTGGTGCACCACATACGGAATCTTTCCATAACTGGAACTTCTAAAAGTCTAGGTAAAACAAATTCTAAAAACCTTCGGTATTCTTCTCTATTAAGTCTAGGTGGAAGAAAATGAGGCCCAATGACATGGTCACCGACAATTCCAACACAAATATTAAAAAAAACCTGTTCTTAAAAATGTTCTATCAAGCCGTATGAATTGTTTTCGGAATAAATGTGATTGTTGTGGAAGTTAATAATTGAATTGCGAGAAAAATAAGCTTCATCTGTAAACAATATTTGACTTAGAAAACCTAGATTCCATATTATTTTACTGCGTAACAAATCAGAAAAAACTATCTTCGAGCTATTTTCTGAGTAATGGTATGAGGATTTGCTTCAATTTCATTTAAAACAGCTTCTTCAATTTTAACTGTTCGTATCATTGCAGGCCTCCCGATGACAACCGTCGGTCTTTTAAAGCTGCCTGTTTCAAAGTCGAGCATGGAGACGTACAAAAGTTATTCTATTAGGCACTACACGCTGAGGAAACATTTCATGATAAATGCGTCTTGCACGAGTTTCCATGAGATAACAGGACTGCCTATCTGCGATTTCACTATTAGTAAATTGAACCACATTGGACGAAAAATAACCACTGAAAAAAATTATAATCATAAACTAATAGCTTATAAATATCAAGTTGACTACTGTCAAGTTGTTTACTAAATGGTGCGATTGTTTTCCAAGGCTTATTTACTATTCCTTAGTTTAGTAAAATTCATTAGTTTAGATATTGATGTAATATGGTTTTGTTTATTGTTTATTTGATGTTGCTACATAATTAGTAATAAAACATTAAAAAAGCAATAATTTCCAAATGAAACTTTTACCCATATTCCTTGTGTGCTCCAGGAATATGCCATTAGGTGGACAGGACTGTTTTTTCTCGAAAAACGAGCAGCATACTAAAAAAATTCCAGTGACAAAAAAGTTGTATTTCTATTTGCTACATCCAAACAACATAATAAAGGTTGCACAAAAGCCAGTGTCGCATATTTTTTGACACTTATATTTGTTCAGGTCCTGCTCGAGATGCCACCGGACTTAATAAATTATTTCCTTAACGTTATGAATACCACCGCCAAATTGCAACAAAATTAGGTAAAGGATATTTAAGAAATTTGCGACAAACAAACTTTTACATACTTGATTAGCACCCTGAATGGCTATCTTCAACTAGAATACGTTAATCAATGTAAAAAGTCAGTGGAGCAAACATATTTTTCTTCCTTCTTCCGCAGAGGTGGAGGTGTTCCAAATTGTAAGTCAAAGACAAATGAGGGGGTCCCTCAGAAAGAAAAACATAAAAATGGGTCCCAGTCGATTTGTTCAGAATTTGAGTATGATATTTCTAGTCTTCTTGAACAAAAGTTCTCGTGGGGCCAAAGCAATTATATGATCAGTTTCTGAGAAACGGGGGATGAAGTTCGATTCAGTGCCGGTGGATTTTAGGACACACTATACAAACTCGTGTGCCATTGAATATTCAGGCCAAGTTATGCCACTTCCACCTAGAAACCCAACTTCCCGAATGGTCAGCCATTACGACTATTACTGCCATTGCAAGATACATATCTCCCACAGGATTTCTACAGCAGGGATTATTTAATCACTATATACCCCGCAATATCTGATAGAGGATCTGTAGCATCGCACCATGATCCCAGATTGCTTAAATGAAAAGACACCCGTCCTTAATCCCTGTAGGTCTAGCCCCAGACGTGCCCCCTAAATGCTTCCTACATTTTACGATATCATAAAGCGATTACATCTGTGGACCTCCCTTTTAATTCTTGTCTGTAATAGTTTGCTAACAATATACCGAGCGTTCTTAATGTTTGAACTTGGTTCACTGAAAATATCCTATATCGTCAGGTCACAGAGGTATACCTCGCACTTTATAGCGATGTGTGAATAATTAGGAATCATTCGGTATACAATCAGAACGAATCAATCAAATAGCAGTTATCATCTCATGATAGCGATCTACATTTCAAGTCTGCTAAGAATGAAGTAAAGTTTAATCAATCTCAATAAAAATGTTTTGATATGACATCCTATTAACATTCAATAAAGGATTAGCTACGTCTCTTTGCTGACATCCGTCGGAAAATTTCTGAAAAGAGGGCTGCGATTAAGCAAACAAAAAGGTCTTGTCATCCTGATGACATTCGTAGAGCGACGAACCTCTTCCATGAAGTTAGAAATGCACTCCATGAATTCCGTAATGAGCAGTGCAGCGACCTTCTGGCGGGGATGCTTGAATCAAGAATTCCCCTCTGGAAAGTGGCAAAATCGCTCAGAAATGGAAGGCAAGAACAACTATCACATATTCATGGTCCTGGAGGCATAGTTTTCAGGAGTGAGGATACAGTGGGGGTTTTTGTTGACATCATGGAAACGCAGTTCTCTCCCAATTATGATCTGGATAATGACCTTGATGAGGAACGACAAATTGTAATATCTGGCAGGAGATATTTCAGAGCGAATAGCGACAACAACGTCAACGCTAACGTCGGTGACTCATTTTCAGAAGATTCTTCTACAGAAGACGCTTCAGGTGAATCTCAGCATAGCATATCAACGGAATCCTCTGAGATTCCGTTTTGCACACCAGCAGAGCTCAAAGTCCATATTAAGGACCTAAAGGTGAAAGTTGCTTTCCCTCAAGGCTTTGACTTATTTGGTGGCAATTATCAATGCAATGCTCAGAACTCATTACTTTCCTAAGGCGTGGAAGATCGCTGAAGTCATCATGATCCCAAAGAAAGTGGGTTCGATATTCCCCCAGGATTATCGTCCCATTAGCCTGCTGTCAGCTTCTTCAGTTCGCTGAAAAGGTGATTTATCATCACCTTGAAAATTTCTCGTAAGATCACCATGTGATTCCTGACGTGTAATTTGGCTTTCGGTTTGAGCAAAGTACGGAGCTACAGGCAGTTAGACTGGTGGAGCATGTAACCAGGGGGTTTACCCTGATCAAAAGTACTAGTATCTTGCTTTTAGATGTATCAAAGGCATTTAACAAGGTGTGGCACATGGGACTCTTATATAAGCTCATACAAAACGGTTTTCCATTTTGGCTTCTAAAACTGTTGAAATCTTTTCTAGAAGGAAGGAAGTTTCGGATCAATATTAACAATGTGTTGCTATCAACACGGCCCGGCCGGAAAGAACCGGTATTCCTCAGGGTTCGGTCTTAGGACCAATCCTTTATTCACTTTATATGCATGATGTCCCTTGCCCCAGCAACTGTGAAGTCTATCTCTATGCTGATTACACCTCACTGCTAGCTCAGTCTTGTTCTGGTAACCTGGTTCACGACAGGCTGCAGAGTGCGGTGGAGGAAGTATTGGAGTGGGCGGATCGGTGGTTGATCAAAATTTCGCGATGTCAGTGAATGGAACTCGTATACCATGGGAATAATCTGTCACGTACCTTGGACTCATCATTGACAAGGAGTTGACCTTGCAGAAACATACTGATATTTTGAAAACAAAATTCCAAATTAACTTACGGCAGCTTTATCCTTAGTTGTGCAGAAATTCAAAATTAAGTTTGATCAACAAGATTCGGTTATATAAAATGGTTATAAGACCAGCAATCACCTACGCATGCGCGGCTTGGTGTTTTTTCTTGCCAAGACCAACTGCAGAGACTGCAAGTCCTGCAAAACAGAATCCTACGCACAATCATTAACGCCCCTTGATACGTGTCAAATGAGACCGCTCTGACGAACAATGACGAACAGTAGGATTAGCTACGTCGACTATTGGACTTTAGCAAGGAGTTTGATACAATAAATCTTAAACTCCTGATGCCGAGATGCAAATATTTAGGCCTTGATAGTAATTCATTAGAATTGTTTGAAAATCATTTGTGTAACAGAATATGTTCGCATTGGTAATGAAAGCTCAAGTAGCAAAAACATTTGTTCTGGTGAACCTAAATTTTTCTTGTTGGGTCTTACTATTTCTATTATACCGGGTGTTTCAAGTTTGAACCGCACCTTTGGGATCTGGAAAACGGTAGGAGATATGAGGTCGCCTAGATAGTGGCAAAGTTTCGTATTTAGGTAACTAACAATGTGCTGCTTAGAAAGTACTTCGGGAGAAACAAGAGAAAACCGAACTTTCCCAAAATCATTTTTTCCTGACTTTATTTGTTGTTGGATTTTAAATTAAATTACACAGTAACATTGCCATTTTTTCTTCTCTACAAGATGGTATACTTATAATTTCAATATGATGTTACGTCTCTTGACCTTCAGCATCAAATTTTCTTATGCCGTATTGGATTTTTACAAAGATGAGTGGAGTTTTCAATCCTGATCTAAAAAATATATAGTATGTCATACATGGACATTACCAAACCTACGTTATCTCAATCAAAATAGACTATTCTGGGTAGGCCTTGCAATTATCACATAATCATTTGTTTCGTACACAGGATTTATCGAAAAATTGTTATTTATTTTCTGCCTTTATTTGAAATGGGCTTCTAAAATAAATTGCATAATGGCATTGCCACTCTTCCTCCACTAGAAGAAAGCGATGTCAAATTCTCAATTGGACGTTTCTACTTTCGATCTCCATCATTAACTTTGTTTTTTCTTATGGACTCCAAATTAAAATTTTACACAATCGAACACAATGTTTAATTCTGCATTAAGTTGTGAATATAATACATTTATTTTTTTTTTTTTTTCGAATTGTTAAGGGGGTTAGATGGTAGAATAGATATATAATCTAAATCTCGCCTCCTGTAAGAATATTACAAATAAAAGACGTTAATTATAATTATTATTATTATTTATTTATGTCAGGATAAACTCTACATATTCAATTAAATTAATATTATTCTTTGTAGTATTTGAATGTAAAGATTCCAGTATAACGTCAATATGGAAAAACAAAGTTGGTGAAGGAAGTCGAAAGAACAAACCTCAATTTGAAAATTGGGCTACTCCGTCATGTAGAGGAAAAAAGTGGTAATTACAATAGGCAATCTTTTTTTCATTTTGATTAGCTATTTTGCGATAAATATGCTATACGAAATAAATAAATATTTGATAATTACAAGGCCTACCTAGTAAATTTTTTTAAATAGCTAAGGTTTGGCAATGTCACTGTATAATACGTTATACATTTTTGGAATAAGAATTGAACTCTATTGATCTGTGCAAAAGTCCAATATGACATCCATAAGAAAAAAAAGTTGATGCTCGAGGACAATAGACCAAACATCATATTGAAATTTTAGGGAAGAAAGGGTGGCAATGTGCAACTTATTTTAAAATCCCACTACAAATAAAGTCAGTAAAAATTTCAAAACGATTATAGGAAAATTCGTTTCTTTGCTTCTCTCCAGAAGTGCTTTGAATTTCAGAAACTCTCTAAGCGGCATTTTGTTAGTTACCTAAATACGCAAGTTTGCCCCAATTCAAGCGAGTTTGTATTTCTTACAGTATCTGAGGTGAGGGTCGAAATAAAGTGCATATCAGCATTGCCACTTTTTTTCTCTACAAGGTGGTATAATTAGAACTCCAATATGACGTTTCAT